ATAACGACGGAAAAGTTCGGCTTGTTATCGGTGCCTCTGGCGGGAAAAGGATAACCACAGCTGTGTCACTGGTACGTCTCATCCTTTTTTTCTACGCTACTTGAATCTTAGGATTTGATTAGTATAGGTACTCCGCCCAAATTTATTCACAGAGAGAAGAGATCAAGATAGCAGAGAAACAAAAGGACAAGCACCCTGCATATCTTTATTGTGAACCGGGAAATCCAGTAATAAAGTTGTTCTATTGATATGGATTTTTCAGCCAAAGAAATGGAGGCGGCCTGAAACAGTAAATCGGTTTATGTCTGTATATGCATGATTGTAGGCGTTGACGAGTTCCTTTCACACGTAAACGGTGCCTATGTGGATTTATTCATGAACTGTATCTCTTCACCCGATGAACGTTTTACTTGAACTAAACGAACTCTCGCTCTTACTACCGCCACTTACTTCTCCAAGTAGCATTTCCTCCTTTTTCCCTTAATAAATCTCGAACCTTGGGTGATTTTAGAATCAGTGTACAATACAACGGAATTACAAATACTACTGGAATTACAATCACAAACAAAAATAATTTCGTCAAGTATCGAACGTAAAAGATACAGAACACTTCGTCATTAAAACTATACTTTTGTCAGGTATCTTGACAGTGTTATTTGACAAATGTTCACACCTGAACAATAAATTTAAAACTGAGGGTAAACTTGTGATTTAAGGAAAACGATGAAGGCACTTATTGAAAAAATGTACTCACAGGTAAAAATTGCCTGACATTTCAAGTTACAAATGCCGACGGATACCGTTTCACGCAATCTCATCAAGGCTGTTGTTTATTTCTGGACGGGAGTAAACTTGCTCATAGTTGTGACAAGATCCTAACGGCTACAAAAATGTCAATGCTTTGTTCAGAAAGAAGGGGAGGATCGTTTCTAGACTCTTTACCATTACATCACAATGTACTCAATTAATAATTACGTTAATTTGCCGAACAAAGGCTCCGCTTAGTTCTGTACGGTGCATTTATTTAAGACATCGCAAACGCACGCAAGCTGACGATTAGATAAAAATGTCTTCAAGGGGACAAATCAGACACAAACTAATTAAATGAACACACCTATCTTGTTTTGACGTTACCCTACAATGAAACAGCTTGAACGAGTTTTGCCTCAATTATATATTCGAACACATGGTTTACAGACGTTACGCTTCGAAATAATACAACTAAGCGAGCTGAATGCTTCCATGACAAACGAAAAATTTGGAAGAGTTTGTCATGAAAATAATAGATCTGGCACAGACGAAGCGAGTGCAGTTAAGCACAAATGGTATCTTACTTATAGAACTGAGCAAAACTGGAGCGTTTAAAGTCATTTCCGAAGACACTTGTGGCAATTATGGTAAAATCTCCGCCAGCCCCATCTACATTATGCATTCAGTTCTTGGATAGAGAAAACGATCACCAAAAAATACAATATCATTGGGAAAACAGATTTGTTTTACAAAAGTATGGGGCTGTGCGGAAATTTTACCGCAGTTATGTCTACAATGGCCAATAAAAAGACAAACTGAACACGTAAGGAAATTTTCATAACTAAGTACTCACTATTTTGGCCATTTGCTTCGCTGTCCATCGGCATGCTGTTGAACATCAAAACTGCAGGTACAGATGTGTCCGTAGTAATACTGTCGCGCGGTTGTATAAGAGATAAACAGATCTGTAGTGTAACAGTTACAAACTATTCGCCTTTATTACCCAATTTTCGGTGCGTTTTTGATGTGACGAGCTGAAAGTAATACGAAAATGTGAAACGAAAATGTTTTATTTTATTGGTCCACGCAAAGAAGAACTCAGATTCTTTTGTAAACCTGTCAGCGCGGATCAGAGCGTTAAGTTGGTAATCTCCTCCCCAACAACGGATTTAAACCGGCTCTTCTTTGCTACTACTGTGCACATACAGTACTAATGCAAATATATACTTTGCGTCTGCAGGTCTTAATGAACAAACTCTGGTTTGGAGATGACTTGTCTGAGGCGGTAAACGAACCTCGACTGCACACACAAATGGTGCCTGATCAGAGAGTATTTTATGAAAACAATAAGAAATATCGCATTAACAAATACGTAATAGAAGGCTTAAAACAACTAGGTCACAACGTCACTGGCAGTGATTTCTTTGCTGTGGTACAGGCAATCTCTAGGGAACCTGAAGGAATATACGCCAAGTCTGACCCGAGAAAGCATGGTGCACCCGCGGGTCAATAAAAGTGTGGTCCCGAGACATTCGCCCAACCAAAACTCGCTTGTAAACCCTATGTAGTGAAGTAACACCGTTTTTTCCATAAATGAGCTAAAAAATGCTGTGAGGCTTAGAGCTACCGAATGATGGCACTTCACAAGGATAGAAAATACATTTTCTTTTTCTTTTTTACAGCAGTTATCCGGCGTCGTTTGTCGAAATTAACGTTCTTCGTTGGGATTTTAAAACGATTTATGATACTTGTCAGTAAGGCTCTTTGATATCGTTCTCCGATTTGAAGTATGTTAAATGAAATAGACAGAAGCGTTGAATTCATTCGTCTTTTTCCGTTGATTTAATACTTATGTTGTTTTCGTAATCATTATGTTGTATTAAGTTCAGCATGGAATTGCTTTGCTTAGGTACCACAT